TCGCAATCGCCGGGAAGAGGCCGAGTGGCCAGGGGACGCCTACCGGAAAACCTCGGTTGCCGTGTGGAAGGCCACGGATTTTGAGTTTGTTCGACGGATCTGAGAGGGTTTGGGGAGGGAGATGCGAGAGATTTTTTATTTTTTGTTTTAAAATAATATTTATCATTATTTTTATAGTTTTATATTTCATTATAAAAGAAAATTAAACATGTATATTTAAAATATTAAAAAAACCTAAAATATTATATAACATGTATGACATTAATTCACGTTAATTTTTTTAAATCGAACAATTTTTAATTGGACCACTGAATATTTTTTATGTAGTATATTTATATATATATATATAGATATAGATTTTGTCTAGCAGATTTATATTTTTATCAATACAATCAATAGAAAATTGATTTCCTATACAAAATTTCAAAAACTTTGTTTTAAAAACAATAGTAACAAATAATATAAAATGATGATTTGTATATATCTCACATAAAAGGGAATATATATATATATATATATATATATATCATAATAAATCGTTTATTTTCAAAATTCGCTACAATGAATAAACCAATTTGAATGTTACTATAAAATTATATTTTGTGTATATATATGGCAACCTAAATCATTGATTCTAATAAATATGATGAAATAAAAAAAGAATTTTTTATAAATGAGAATTCTAAAATTGGCGCCATACAAATTTAAATATTACTATAAAATTGTATTTTGTGTATATTGCATATATGCTAATCCAAATTAATGATTCTAATTGAAATAAAAAAGAATCCTCCATAAATGAAGATTCCAAAATAAGCTACATAATTATGTACAGAAAATCAGCTACATAAATCAAGATTCCAAAATAACCTTTACCTACAAAATAACTATTAACTTAATTAAAGGAAACATATAATTGTCTAAAATAAACACTGAATGAAATCTGAGTTATATGGAAACTATGCACTTAATGATTTAATTTTATTTAAATAGTATTATATTATTTCCATCTATAGTAAGTAATTAATGCTGATGGCGGAAAAACGTTACTAAAATTGATTTAAGTTAATCCTTATTATATATTAATAGATTTTCTATTTTTAGATTATTTGTAATAACTAAAGAATATATATCAGTTCGTAGGATTCCCGTGTAATTTCACGAAAAATTTTACCTTTCAAAAATTTATTTCCTTTCTCTTTAACAAATACACGGATATTGTACTAGTATATATGTATATATATTTATCAAAATATATATATATATATAATTGCTGGCATGTAGCATTTAATAAAATCTATTTAATAAAACTTTTAAAATTTTCCTTCCATTAACTAGTATTTGACGATGTGCATTTGCACAGATATAAAACACGTTTTTATTTGTATTTATTAATTAAACATGTACTTCTATCATATAAAAATTATTACTTTTTCTTAAGTTATTTTTTATCATTCAAAATTAATTGACATTTAAATTTTATTTTAACCATGAAACGTTTACATTAGTAACTTGAATAAAATAATTTATATATTTGTGGCATATATAAAAAAAAAAAAAAAAATTATTGGTGTTTCTGATTTTTAGAAAAAAAAAATAAATGTGTCAATCATATTTTTCTTCCAACAATGCAACCAAATATAGCGGTTACAACTCTTAATGTGTCAATAAACTTTAAGTTCCAACATTAGTCGTTACACATTTGAACATTTTGCTACCAAATTTAAAATTAACTTAGTAACTGATCCAAACAATAAATAATAAAAATATATATAATAAGGTGTAACGGTTTTAGCAGATTAGTAAATAATTAATTAAAAAATGTAACTCCTTTTGGAGGGAAGTGACAATAGATTTTGTTAAATGTATTATTAAATGAATCAGCTAGTAATTATATATAGATTTTAATATATATATATATACATATATATATTTCTATCCCCATGATTATTAAGCTTTTTGTTTTCTGAAATTGTTTTAGATTAAAAAATTCAAAGTGACAATTAATAAATGATGAAATCTCACTACTAATTGTCCCAAAGATTCATAACATTTTTTTTTTTTTTACTTTACTAAAAGTCGTATTTATTCCATGTGATAAATATGAAAATTTCTTCAGTATAGTTATTGTTTTTATGTTTTCAGTATAACCACATCTTATGGAACTTCACTTTAGATAAATACGGTTTAGTGAAAATAGTTATTTTCACCCCGTTTTGAGGTATTGTAAAGTTCTTCACACCGTCTAATATAAAGCTAAGTTTTTCATCTCAAAAAATGCGAAAGGCATTGTGCGATGAATATGCGACAATTGTGCGATGATATTGTGCGAAAGTTTAAAGTGCAAAGACATTCGCATATCCCTTTGCACTTTCTGGGGTGAAAAAAGTTAAAGTGCGAAGGCATTGTGCGATGAATATGCGACAGTTATGCAATTGATATGCGACAGTTATGCGACAGTTTTTCGCATAACCTTCGCATATGCAACAGTTATGCAATGAATATGCGACAATTTTCGCATAACTTTTGCACTTTTCGGGGTGAAAAACTTAACTTTTTATTGGGCGGTGTGAGAAACTTAATGTGTCTTTGTATTGGAGAAATCAGGGCGGGTGGGTCGTCTGGCTCAGCCCTACATACAGAATCCAGAGGGAGACCCGAAATACGAGGGAACATTCGTGGCAGGTCAAAATCCAGGGGAAGGAATAAAGGCAAGAAAGAGATGGTGTGTTGGAACTGCGAGAAGCCTGGGCATATGAAAAGCGAATGCCGGACACCAAGGAAGGACAAAGAAGGCCGGACAGCCAATGCCGCGACGGAGGACACGGCGGATGCACTCTTGTTGAGTGTGAGAAGCTCGCTCGATGACTAGATCGTGGACTCAGGGGCCTTGTTTCACTCTTGCAGTAGCAGAGACATCATGGAGCCATACACCGCAGGTGATTTTGGCGTGGTATATCTTGCAGACAATAAACCCCTAAAAATTATAGGGAAGGGAGATGTGCAGATCAAGTCAGCAAATGGGTCATGCTGGACCCTAGGGGATGTGAGGCACATTCCAGGACTGAAGAGGAATCTCATCTCAGTTGGACAGCTGGACAACGACGGCTTCCACACAATGTTTGGAGATGGAAAGTGGAAGGTCAGCCGAGGAGCTATGACTTTGGCAAGAGGGCTGAAGTCAGGAACGCTTTACACGGCGAGTGGATCCAGCTCAAACATTCTCCTGGCAGGAGCTGTCTCACAATCGCACTTGTGGCACAGTCGCTTGGGCCACATGAGCGAGAAAGGAATAAAGGTACTAAAGTCGAGAGGACTTTTGCCCGAGTTGGAGTCAGTGGACGTGGGTCTCTGCGAGCAATGCGTGCTTGGAAAGCAGAAGCGAGTGAGCTTCATAACCACCGGGAGAGCTCCAAAGACAGAAAAACTGGAGCTCGTGCACACTGACTTATGGGGGCCAAAACATCTCTTGGAGGATCGATGTACTACATGACGTTCGTCGATGACTGCACAAGAAAGGTATGGGTGTACTTTCTGAAAAGAAAATCCGAAGCCTTTGATACTTTCAGGAGATAGAGAGCACTCGTGGAGAAAGAGACAGGTCTGGAAGTGAAATGTTTCAGATCCGACAACGGTGGCGAGTACAACAGTGAAGCCATCAAGGAATACTGCGCTGATCATGGGATCCGGATGCAGAAGACGGTCCCAGGGACACCTCAAAAAAATGGCATTGCGGAGAGGATGAACAGGACACTGAATGAGCGTGCGAGATGCATGCGATTGAAGAGTGGACTGCCCAAGATGTTTTGGGCAGAAGCAGTCAGCACGGCCGCTTTCTTGATCAACCGAGGGCCTTCTGTCCCACTGAACAACAAAATTCCAGAAGAGGTCTGGAGTGGTAAGGAAGTTGATCTCTCTTTCTTACGTACCTTTGGTTGTTTGGCTTACGTTTTGAACGATGACCGGACAAAGCTGGATGCTAAGTCCGTCAAATGTACATTCATTGGATATGGGACTGACGAATTTGGGTATAGATTTTGGGATGATCAAAATTGGAAAATTATTCGCAGTCGTAATGTGGTGTTCAATGAAGGCATAATGTACAAGGACCGGAAGAAATACCCGGACGATGACAAGACCATGCAGGAGTATGTTGGTCACGATATTTCAAATACCGGAATCATGAGACCAGCAGATTCAGTGGGAGCTCAGATAGATGAGATCGAGCGTACAGAAGAAGAGGCAGAACCAGATTCGGATGAACCGATTGCTGAGAGCAGCACGCCTCTGGCACTGGGCCGAGAACCGAGGATGAGAAGGGCCCCGGATAGGTACTCCCCTTCTCTTTATTACCTACTTCTATCTGATTCTGGGGAACCCGACTGTTATGCAGAGGCAGTTAAAGATGCCCACAAGAGCAAGTGGGAGCTTGCGATGGATGACGAGATGAACTCGTTAAAGAAGTACCACACATGGGATTTGTATGATCTCCCACAAGGAAAGAAGGCGCTTCAAAATAGATGGGTCTATCGGGTCAAGGAGGAATCCGAAGGAACAAAACGGTACAAGGCCAGACTTGTAGTAAAGGGATTCCAACAGAGATACGGTATTGACTTTACCGATGTTTTTACACCTGTTGTTAAGTTAACCACTATTCGTCTAGTGTTAAGCATGGTAGCGGCGGAAAACTTGGAGTTGCGACAGTTAGATGTGAAGACGGCCTTTCTGCATGGGGATCTCGAGGAAGAAATTTACATGGTGCAGCCAGAGGGGTATAAAGAAAATGATCAGCAGGTCTGCCACCTAAAGAAGAGCTTGTACGGACTGAAACAGGCTCCTCGACAGTGGTATCGAAAGTTCGATAATTTCATGCTGGAGATTGGATACTCCAGGTGTAATGCTGATCATTGTTGCTATGTGAAAAGGTTCGGTAACTCTTTCATTATTTTACTGCTATATGTGGATGACATGCTGATAGCAGGATCAGATGTCAAGGAAATCGAGAGGCTCAAAGATCAGCTATCAAGGAGATTTGATATGAAGGATCTAGGAGAAGCGAGACAAATACTGAGCATGAAAATCACGAGGGACAGAAATGCTGGTAAACTTTGGTTTTCTCAATCTGATTATATTGAGAAGGTGTTGTGCAGATTCAAAATGGATATTGCAAAGCCGGTTGAGTGCCACTGGGAAGCCAGTTCAGGTTGTCCAACAAGGATTCGCCCAAGGATGACTCTGAAAAGAAAAGGATGAGAATTACGCCTTATGCTTCGGCTATAGGGAGCCTGATGTACGCTATGGTCTGCGCCCGGCCAGACATAGCACATGCAGTGGGAGTAGTCAGCCGGTTCATGAGCAATCCTGGAGTGATGCACTGGGAGGCGGTAAAGTGGATTCTTAGGTACCTGAGGGGTACTAAGGACCGGGCATTGGTATTTGGCAGGAGTACCCTTACCCTGTCTGGGTTTGTCGATGCTGATTTTGATGGAAGTGATCTTGACAAGAGGAGGAGTACTACTGGGTACGTGTTCACTTACGGCGGGACGGCCGTATCCTGGATCTCGAAACTGCAGAAGATAGTCACATTGTCCACAACGGAAGCTGAGTACGTGGCAGTGACGGAGGTAGCCAAGGAGCTCGTTTGGCTGCAAAACTTCCTGAATGAACTTGGAAGACCTCAAGAGGATGTAGCTCTATACAGTGATAGCCAGAGTGCAATCCATCTGGCAAAGAACCACGCGTTTCACTCGCGAACGAAGCACATCGAGGTTAAGTATCATTTCATCCGGCAACTTCTAGAGAAGAAGGTGTTGCAGCTGAAAAAGGTTCCGGGAGAGAGAAATCCTGCAGACGTGTTGACCAAGGTGGTAACTTTGGAAAAGTTGAAGCTGTGTGCAGCTTCGACCGGCCTTGATAATTAAAACAGACAGACCCAGTAGAACCAGGAGCAGAGATGAACATGTTGATCAATGAGGTGTGTGGACAGATTGAAATCAGTCCTCAAGTGGGAGATTGTTAAGTTAATGGGCAACAACCCATTTTCTTTCTAACTACCAAAGAAAAATAAAAAAATAGAGTAGCACACCGTGGGAGAAAAATGTTAGCACACATTTGTAGAAATTGTGATGCATTCTTTCTCTATAAGTAGAGCTAGAATCATGATATAAAAATCACAACAAAAGAAAACATAACAAGAGAGATAGAGAGAAAAAGAGTAGAGAGAGTGTATTCATACGGGCTTGTGTGAGTTGTAACATTCGGTTTATCCTCTTCTTCTAGTTCATTCTCCTGGCTTGGTTCGCCCCCAGACGTAGGATTTAATCCGAACTGGGTTAACAAACTTTCGTGTCTGTTATTGATTTCACATTGGTGTGTTATTATTATTCCATATTATCCGACCTTATTTCCCAACATCTTATGGAACTTCACTTTAGATAAATACGGTTTAGTGAAAATAGTTATTTTCACCCTGTTTTGAGGTCTTGTAAAGTTTTTCACACCGTCCAATAAAAAGCTAAGTTTTTCACCTCAGAAAATGCGAAAGGCATTGTGCGATGAATATGCGACAATTGTGCGATGACATTGTGCGAAAGTTTAAAGTGCGAAGACATTCGCATTCCCTTTGCACTTTCTGGGGTGAAAAAAAGTTAAAGTGCGAAGGCATTGTGCGATGAATATGCGACAGTTATGCAATTGATATGCGACAGTTATGCGACAGTTTTTCGCATAACCTTCGCATATGCAACAGTTATGCAATGAATATGCGACAATTTTCGCATAACTTTTGCACTTTTCGGGGTGAAAAACTTAACTTTTTATTGGGCGGTCTGAAAAACTTAATGTGTCTTTGTATTGAAGTGTTTATATCATATATTGTGTAGTTAATAAATATATTTATAGAAAATAATAAAAAAAACGTGTTTCCATAAATTCGACAAATATCTCGTTATGGTATGTATCTATTTATTTAATTCATATATATCCTAAATCGTAACATCCTCCCTATATATTATTCCCGAATGCGCTGAGCCTACATGGCTGCTTCTGGTGCTTCGGAATCCTATTTGGCAAAGAATCATGCTTCGTAATTAGGTTTGGACAAATAATGTTGATATATTAATAATTTATAATCTAGGTTTGGGCATTCCATAAATATTAAATAGCTAACTTAGGTATTTTAATATTACTTGTACTAATATAACCCTTTACTTCTTTGTAATTTTACATAGTGAGACATTAAGTGACTAATATATCCTTGACTTTTGATTTGTTTCCTTCAATTAGTTATTTAATTGTAAATGTATTTTAAAAG